TACGAGTAGGCGACAGTACGATAGCCTAATTAGCCAGTTAGCCTGACTAGCCTAACTGCAAGGAGAAAAACTGGGGGAATGCATATAAAGATGTGTTAATATTTCGGCAACATGCCTTTATCGAAACGGACAGCAGAAGTAGTAGAAGTAGTAGATTAAGGCTAATTCCGCTTGACTTTTGGCTAGGAATTAGAGCCATATTAAGGTCAAAACCAAACCAATTTCACAGGAAGAATTGCCTTATGTTGCAACGTTTTACGATCATTTTGAACTCCTTGATCACGAAGAAGTCAACAGATCTTTTGTTTGCTCTTTGTGGCGGTTAGTATAGTTCAGTGGCCTAGCATGACCGCGACCACCCTTTTGCTTTAGATATGGAGACGCTTAGGGAAGTTCTTGACTGGTTTATAAGTACAAATATTAGAATGGCATCGAAGTGTTGGTCGTCTTCACGTTATAAATTTTAGATCAGATCATTGACCTGCTGTGTGTGCAAGTGATCTTTTACTTGGAAAAGGCATTCATATTCAAGCTATTTGTGTGCGGTGTGACACCCAGGACGTGGCCAAAATAGATTCGCTGGTGCTTTACGCTATCTTGCTACCAAAGAAAATGCGAGAAAAAATGAATAAGTTTAGATGTTTTGTGGAAGGTTTTCGATGCCTCCCACGAGCAGGAAGCCCAGAGTGTTCCCCGATTCAAACTGATTCATATGCAGCATGTCAATTGAATCAGTCAATACAATTCAGACGGTACCAAGGGAAGAATAATGCTAGCCTGGGAACATTACCGTGGGAAAAACAATGCGATAAGAGCTCATTAACTTGTCATGTTTCAGTAGTGGTATGATGAGTATCAATTTTCAATCACAGAAATTTAGGTGTTTTTAATCCTCTTCCCATTGGTCGTATCCCTGAGATTTAAACTCATGCGGCACCTGGCGGGTGGCAGTTATGCACCTCAAAAAGCACCGACGAAGTGATGGATGATCTATTTGTCACAGGAACTTCAAAATCACGCATCAGCACATCAACACTTATCGTCATTCCGTCTAAAACATACAAATCAACAGTTGATAGCTAATGCGCGTTATCGACATAGTGAACCCATGTTCGCCTGGGATAGGTGTCATTTTCATCATGGAACGGTAAAAGTTTTGCGAATGGGTTGGAGCAAGCGCGCTTTCAATCTTTAATCGCAAGAATATAATCCCCTGGGATTGTAATCTCCATATGCTGGAAGGCGTCGGCTGCTGTTGCTAACACCAGGTATCCCCCTGAGGCGGGCGAAACCGCCACGCACCGGAAATTTGTACCTTCGTACATTTTATGCATTTCTTACTGCGTCGAAATCGTGTTATTGGTCCTTTATCTAAATTGCATAATTTACACATTGTTTCCTCGATCAGATCAGCAGCCAGACCAACACGAACAGTACATACTCCAACACTGCGCGAAATTTTTGTTGTGTCATAGCTGCTAGTCTGTTCAGACTATCAACATGGAAATCGTACAGGTGAGGCCTGTCTCGCGCTCTACCCTCAAAGGCTACAAAATAAGGTCAAGAAGCGTTCAAAAAAAAAAAAAATTCTGCTTTCTGCCACCCGGTCGTTTTCGTCCGTGTCGCTTTCGGCCACCAAATCTGGCTGCAACAGTCGACGTTGCGCGGCCCACGGAGACTGCAACGTCGGTCTCCAGCTTTATCCTGACCTCATATTGTGTATAAGCGTGCTCAAAACTCACGCTTCAAGCAATTAAAAAAGTCATCAATGCCTGATTCTGTAAAATGGTAACCGTGGCCTGGCGAAACTTGGTTAGCCTTACCAATTAAAAGGGCTGTTTCGTACCACCCCACTGTGCAAATGTCACACAATAATGAAAGATCACAGGCATTGGCTTCCATACAATGTAGCTTGTAATGACAGGAAATGTCGATTTTAGAAATATTCATGGCATGATCGGAAAAAGAGCAGCGTAGTATCAAGCTGATATTAAAACAAACACAAGAAAATGTTGATTGTCTCAGTGCGACTCACAGCGTGTCAATTTTTCAAACAATATACCATGGCTTATGAAGGGGAACCTCTCACATATACTACATATGTGGTGAATATGCGGGACAAAACAATGTTATTGTCCTTATACAATTATTTCTATCCCAAGGAATTCATGGCGGCTTGTCTTCATGTCAATGCCGCGCAAGGCTGGCATGAACAAAATGGTTCCGGGAACTCACGACGGCCTATTGTAATCACATTACATTTCACGCTAGGTTTTTCCGCGAGTTCTGGGTCTGGACCAGCCGCGCATGCGCATTGTAAATGGCCACACTCTGGGTGCTGCGGAGGTCTACACATTTCCAGCGTCGATTTCAAGCTCGTTTTTTTGCCTTATTTCAGCCAAAGGTCAAAATTAAGAGACCACCTCAAAATTTGACACAAAACAGACCACGTACACCCTTCCATACCCTTTGAATTTTGAGCACCTTGCCTTCTTACCTTTTGAGACTTGAGGGGGTCAAACTGACCCCAGCCTGAGAGCGTCGCATTCAGTCGGCCACATGGACGGACGTTGTTTGCTCAACTGATATGAAGGTGTGGTGTCATCAATCTTACCCCATTTATTATAGCCCACATTACATATCTCCGTCAATGTAAGGCGTGATAAGATGCTTAAACGGGGGTTTTACAGATTGCTCACAGGTGAAGTGCACTTAGACGTTTCGTGATGACTTTGGTGGTAGCCATCTCGTGATCAATATTGAAACGTCATTTAGATTTCCACAACTTGGCATGACATATTAATCAACAGCGTCGAACATCGGTCATAAAACCACCGCTCGGCGGCTTTTTAAAGGAAATGCTCTAGATGCGTGCACGGCGCTGCAACAATGGACGGGCGGACCTCTTGCAGGCGTGTGATGGTGTCCTCCACCACCTGCCCTGTGACATGGCCCACCTCACGGACGGCTGTGACCTTCAGCTCCTCCGTTTGATGTTTGGTGACGTACTCTCGATGCATCAAGTGGCCCAATATGAAAACGTCGAGTGGTCCGGCGGGACTGGGGACCCAGCGGACTCCATTACAGTGTACTCACGCGGTGGTTCGGAAAATAGGCTTGGGGCTCGTCGGAGGCTCACGTGCCCCAC